GAGCGAGGGGGACTGGGATGCCGTCTCCTCCTTTTGCAAAGCAGTCATGCTAGCTAAGGAGGAGGCGGGACGCGTGAGGCAGCGAAGCGCTGCTTCCTCGCAACCCAGCCGTCGCGAAGGACACATCGGGCGTCGGGGATCGCGGGACGATCTCCGGCCACCGTAAGCGCGGGCCGGAGGACGGCGAGCATGGGTGGCTCCCCGTCCGACTAGAAACAGACCCGAGCGTACGGCGCGTCGCGTTCCGCGCGCACCTCAGAGAGCCATCAGACCACCACAGATGGGGCCCAATAGAGCCGATGCCGATTCGGAGTCGCGGAGAACCTAACGGGTAACCGGGGCTCCGGCTCGACGTGCAGAAGAAGGAACGGGGTGGTTTTTAGTCAGTAAGAGTCTGACACTCCCTTCCGCCTCACCCAGGCGGGAGCAGACATTCGATGATTTTCCCCCCTTAAAAAAAGCCCTTATATTAATAATAATCAAAATCATTTCAATTAGACCCTGAAGGCACTTTTTTAACGTCAACAATAAAAAATTGAAAGTTAAGCTATTTGCTCATTCCAAAGTTTCAATTCCAAGATTCCTATGCAGAAGAATAAGCAAGAAACTCTGTAGGTTACTCTTTTTCAATCAGGTAGGTACACAATACAATTCTCTAGTTACATAGGTAATTTTATTAGTTCGATTGTGCGAGAACAATGTAACACCAAAATCCAGTCAAAGAGATCGAATCTTCTAGGTCGCTTCTGGATGCAGGTCGCTTATGGCCGGCCTATGTGAAGATCATAGGGGGAGGCCTATGTAAAGCTGTGGACGTCATTTGGCTGATATGATGATGATGATAGAAATAAATTACATCAGCCTCCATTCCCCAAAGGAACTATATAATGTAACACCCACTTTTCACTAACTATGTTATGAGTCCCATGTAATAGGAGGTGAGCCTATTGCCATATACCAGGCACAATTCCACAATTCGTGGTACGACTGAGACTTTTTTTTAAACTCATTAAGCTTTACCCGGCCCGGTTAATCGAACCCGAGACCCCTTACCTGGCAGGCGCACTTGCGACCACTCTGCCAACGAGGCAGTGATAGAAATATGACATTAATAAATAAAACAATAATATATCTAAGAAACAAATAATATTTATTCAATAGAAATTGTATTTTTACACATTTTGATATTTACAAAAAAAAACTCAATACGTATATTAAAAGTTTCTAATCCTAACTAATATTATAAATGCGAAAGTAACTCTGTCTGTCTGTCTGTCTGCTACTCTTTCACGCCAAAACTACTGAACGGATTTGAATGAAATTTAGTATACAGATATTCTAGACCCCGAGATAAAACATAGGCTACTTTTTATCGCGAAAAAGGGGTTGTTGTAAGAATATAATTATTACGATTTATCTGAAAACCTGAAAACGGATATCTGACAGGTAACATTACTATGGTAACCAACCTGATGATTTGTAATTGTTATGACGTCCTACTTTCATAATATATTTTGGCATCAACATATAAAAATGAAGTTTTGTGGGTTTTCAAGGAATAATATTAGTATTCAGCTGCATCAGGGATCAGGGATTTTAAAGACAAAATACGAATTCAATTGACTGAATACAATTTATTCATAGACTAGCCTCTGTCTGCGGCTTCTCTCGCGTTCTTTTAATGGGGTGAGGGAAGGATTTACAATAAAAAAATGAAATGATGCACGATTCTATGCTGGTCACAAATAACCCGCATACAAATTGTTAGCTTTCCACATTGAAAATTGCAAAATACCCCATACAAACTTTCACCTCTGTTTCACGGAAGTGGAAGGGGGTTAAAAAAAGACAAAAAGTAGCCTATGATACTCTCCATCTTTTCAACTATCTCAAATCAAAAACCTTCCTGACTCCGTTCTGTTGAAATACGGACAAACAAACAAACAAGCACATACAAATTTATATTATTAGTATACATTTCTTAAGTCATCTGACATTTGTGTGACAAGTGAGTTTACAAAGTCAATGTGTCATAGATTTTTTTTATACTATGGTATTAATATTAAGGTATGCAAAGAGGTTGACAGCAGTCTAAGGAGATAAAACCACGAATAAAATATTTTCAGTTTACTTGAATTCGTATTTTTTATATGTATATCAAAAAAACTAGCTAAATGCACATAGCTAAAAAATAATATTAGTCCTTTTCATTTTAGACCGTCAAGGCCAAATTCACTATGATAGTTTGCTGTTTGTTTATGGCATAAGCCGGTAAACGAGCAGACGGATCACTGCGCCGCCCATGGACATCTGTAACACCAGAAGTGCTAGAAGTGCGTTACCGGTCTTTTGGGAATTGGTAATTTGAGGATTGTTAGGGATTGGGGGGGCTGGGGGAGGGGTAATTGGGCCTCCGGTAACCTCACTTACACAGCGAAACACTCCTTTAGGTAACCGAGGGCTGGGCTCGCTGTCATTGCAGCGGAAAGTCCCCTCTTTAAAAGTGGCTTTAGAGAGGCCATCAATGCAAGGACCGCCCGGAGAACACGGTGGAGCATACCGTGGCGGTGTACCTTGCATGGGCTGAGCACCGCCGTGTTCTCAGGGATGTAGGAAACGGTGACTTCGCGTTCGGCTCTGGTTCAGGCCATGGAGCGAGGGGGATTGGGATGCAGTCGCATCCTTCTGCGAAGCAGTTATGCTTGCCAAGGAGAAAGCGGAGCGTGTGAGGGAATGAACTTCCTCACGCCCCAGCCGTCGCGGGAGACACTCTCACCGGCCACCGTAAGTGCGGGTCTGTAGACGCAGAGCAAGGGTAGCTCGCCACCCGACCAGAACCAGTCCCGTGCATACGGCGCGCGCCTTACAGAGCCATGACACCATCATAGATGGAGCCCAGTAGGGCTGATGCTCGATACGGTGCCGCGGGAGGCCTAACGAGTTGACGGGGCTCCGGCTCGACGAGCAGGAGTAGGAACGGAGTGGATTTTAGTCAGTAAGAATCTGTCACTCCCTCTCACCTAACCCAAGGCGGGAGAAGTGATTGGATGATTTTCCGACCTCAAAAAAAATCTCCTTTAGGTAATGACAACCCGATGTGTGAAAAACTACCAAAAAAACTCCTTATATTACTGGTATTGATTACGCTGTGGAAATTATGGACAATAGAGCCAAGGGATGTATTAAGTCTTATAGAGGACATTAATATCAACATTAAAGTACATGTATCATATGTAACTAACCTAATATCAGAATACCTATTTTTTCATTTAAATGTTTGCGATAGTAACGCACGTCGCACCGGTACATATCAGGTCACATTATAGGAGAGAGGAAATCCCAAAATGACGGAAACTATGCGCTAAAAAACCAGGACCAAGGACGTTGAAATAAAGAGGGGCTCTTACCTTTTAAACCATTGAACCTATTTGGTGAAATTCGGCGCAGCGATAGTTTGAGACCCGGGAAAGGACATCTAAAAGTTTTTAACCCGAAAAACCCACGAAACCGGGAACTGTGCTGTTAAAATCACTATATCTATTTGATTGAAATGCGATACAACATTGATTTGCAAACATAGAATAGTGAAACTTCACGAGACGGGCACTATACGGGTAAAACCTCTATGGGATTATTTATTTTAGAAACCACGAAAATAAATTCATTTCTCAATAAATATAACCTAGGTACTGAATCGATTGTGATGATATTTGTTCCAGTTGTACAGCCATAGAATATACCTTGACAAAGACTAATTTAAAAAACCTAATTTATACAGAAGTCGTTATTTCACGCGGACGAAGTCGCGGGTAACAGCTAGTACTAAATAAGTAGTAAAATGAATAACAAATTTCCTATGTTACATTACTAAAATAGAGTAGATTTGTTTATAAAATACATTTTATTCTATTGTATATTTCAATATAACTATTTACATTACTAGTATAATAAGTTCACAAATAAAAAAAAATAATTATCTAACTATATAAAATCCAGTAAGTACATCAATTTTAAAAAGGTATAGGTATGTAAAACTAAAATTTTACGGTGAACCCCTTTTTACTTTTTATATATTTTTTTTAATTTAGTACAAAGGTATAGGTAAGTATAACTAAAATTTTGCGGTATACACCTTTTTACTTTTTACGTATTTTTAAAAATTTTAACATATTTCCAAAGCATTAAAAATGTAACTACTAAAATGTTTATTATTATTTTTACATTGCAGGGACCTATCGTGAGACACATTAAATTAATTAGATTGTACATATGTTATTTAAATAACCATTTGACAAAATTACTCGACAAGTTTCTAACTACCATTATTCAAGACTATGGGCTCCGATTTGGCTAGAAATCGATCGAGTGACCTCGTCGAACAGTTATGTAAGTAAGCTGTACGACATAATTTCATTGGCTTTTTTTGAAACGTTGCCCCACACTAGGTTTTTCTCCTGTATCGTGTGCGTTTACAAACATACAAGTTTACACAAATTACCCCTAGACCCGAAACAACAATTTGTTGATCATACAAAGAGTTGCACTGCGCGGGTATCGAACCTGCTACACGTTGCACGACAGCCAGTTGACCAGCCACAGCGTCAACCGTGCAATCTTATCTTACACTATTATATAAAGCGGAAGAGTTTGTTTTTTTGTTTGTTTGTTTGTTTGAACGCGCTAATCTCCGTAACTACAAGTCTGATTTTAATAATTCTTTTTATGTTGGATAGCGCATTTATCGAGGATGGCTATAGGCTATAAAACATCACGCTACGACCAATAGGAGCTGAGCAGAGCGTGTGAAAATGCGCGGAAGTAGCTAGTCATTTATAAAACGTAGTTATAAAAAATGTTATAAATAAACGATTAGGAATTGAGGATCAAGGAGGGAATTGAGCCTCCAGAAACCTCATTCACGTAGCGAGACACAAGCATTGCTTCCCTCCAAAATCACATTTAACTAACTAAGTAACAAATAATCAACTATTTTGACTAAATCATTTGCGTCTTTGAGGCTCACAATACGTCGGTTCAACGTACTCTTGCGCAGAACTATTTGCATACGGAGAGCTATTTAAATTAGTATAATGATTGTGATTCCTAGCCATGTTGGCTTCGCAATACATGGGTTCCTCAGCGTTCGCATAAGGAGACTCTTTAGCAACATTGGCATAATTTTCATTTCTACTATACACCTCACTGTAATTAGGGTCGCTGGTGTCTTTTACGACATTCCTTTTTGGTGTACCTTTATGGTTTAGGATAGCATAAGTAGGACCTACTTGGTTTTGCTTCGGTTTTCTTGCGTTTTTTGGGACTGGTTCGGTGTAGAGCGGTTGTATGGGCACACTGTATGCTGGTTCTTCGTGTCTTTGGTCTATTGGAACGGCGTAATTGTTTGCCTCCCACTGCGCTGGGTATGGTGGGATGGAAGTCTCGCTGGGTGTCGGTAGGTTTTCATAGTTGTTGCCTTGAGGACTGCCCTGTGGTTGTCATATTAAGATTTTGGCGTTAGTTGAATTACGTATCTAGATTTTTTTAATACGTATGATGACTGCCTGTTTTTATAATGACTATCGTGAGATATGCTGAGTTGCTGAATGAACTTAAAATTACGAATCACATATTTTTAATTTTATACCCTGTCATCATTCGTATTATTTTAAGCTTTGAAACATTTTGTCAATAGTGTGATCTTTTGATTGTCTATCATCCTTCATCCAATATCCATCCATCATCCATCATCCATACTCAATCATCCTACCTGAGATCTATCACATAACGTAACAACCTCAGATTTTATTTCTCAACAAGGTTTTATATTATGATGTAACTACAATTATGGGAATTTATTGAAAAATAAAATGTTTCAATATTCATCATCCATCATCCACCATTCAACATTCAACATCCATCATCCATTCAACATCCATACATCAATAAACTGTATGTATATAGTACATTTACCTGAGTTCGATTCCTCTTGCGAACTTTGACAAGGATTAAGAAAATAGATACGATGATCACGAAGACGACTGCGGCAATCGCCACAATAATTTCATAAGGCACATCCTCGTCGACTGTCCCTGCAATAAAATTTTACAATACATAATAACTAATTATGAATCAGAAGACATTATTTAGAGGAGAGGAAAAAATACAGTTTCCATTTCACTCGGTGAATTTAGACTGAATGATTTAGACACAAAAGAGACTGCACAACTGGGAGAAGCCCAGTCTTCAAACCCCACGGAAAGAATGACGGGCAAACATGTATGGGAAATATACCGACCAATAACGACCAGGCGTACGTTGAGACTAGCCCCCATTTTTTTTTTAAGGGGGGAAAATCATCTAATGACTGCTCCCGGCTGGGCGAGGCGGGAGGGAGTGTCAGACTCTTACTGACTAAAAACCACCCCGCTCCTTCTCCTGCACGTCGAGCCAGAGCCCCGGTTACCCGTTAGGTTCTCCGCGACGCCTTTTATCCCCTAAGGGGTAGGCAGAGGTGCAAATTATGTCACTGTACAATCTAACACCCACTTTTCACTATTTATGTTATAAGTCCCATGTAAAAGGGGGTGAGTCTATTGCCATATACCGGGCACGATTACAGACTCCGTGCTACTACTGAGAATTTAAAAAAAAATAGTTTGCCTGACTCGGGAATCGAACCCGAGACCTCTTGCCCGGCAGTCGCACTTGCGACCACTCGGCCAACGAGGCAGTGAATTACGAACATATACCTAAGTTTAATTATGAACATATAGGTTGTTATATTATGACTAGACTAGCCCCCATAATAACAAATGATAGTCGTGAAAGAGCTTTCTAACGACATAGGTCTGGTATATTATGGTTGGTAGGAACATTCTGCTCTACAGGATGACCCTTTGGTTTTGACTCGCGTAACTGTTCCATGAGGTGATCCTCATTAACACATTCAATGCGATACGGCAAGTATTTGGCCGTATTTGATTCTCAGGCAGTAGCTCGTGGTCCTTGTTTTGCGTACTGTGCGGGGGCGATTTATCTAAGTTCCCTTGCGCTTTTTGGAGATTTTGAAAAATCTCTGTATCTTTCAAAGTATAACAGAGAACCCAGGGCGACTGCAGCTAGGTACATACAAGGACATAGTCTATCGATTTGTTTATAAAAACCATTGATATAGGCGGTTTCCACGTCTGATAGGCTTTGAAAGTCAGGGTCTGGTACGGCAAAATAGAAGCCGTAACGCATATCAGGAAACATAGATACAGCATTTGTCTCGTATCGCACTAGTAGAAAGTTTAGATTCAACGCTGCTGCAGTGAATGTGTTAAACAGTTACGAGTAAGAGTCAATAGTAGTGTCGTGTGTTTTGAAATGCTGTTTATGAATATGAGCCTCTAATATGACTTGAAACTAGTCGAGTTCCTCGACAAGCAGTTACGTGAGTAAACTTATATGAGTCGTGGTGGCCCGGAGGTTTAAGACGCCCGCTTCTCATGAATGAGGGTGCGGGCTCGAAACCTTCCAATGGCAAGTACCAATGTGACTTTTTCCGAGATATATGTACATTCTAAGACTATTAAGACACCACTGACAAACGGTGAAGGAAACATTCTGAGGAAACCCGGGCTTATAGTTTCTAATTATAAGTTTGAAATCGCCAACCCGCATTGAGCAAGCGTGGTGATTGATGCTGAAACCTGCTCCGTGTGAGAAGAGGCTTTGCTCAGCAGTAAGCATTTATAGGCTGTTCATATATAAAATAAGTAAATGAAGTTTTACCACTCAAATGGGTATGGTAAGTGTTTTGAAATTTAATTTCTTTTTACCTGTGATAGTGCCGGTGGTCGACCCGCCAGGATCTGTCAACACAACGATCACAGACTAGTTATAATAATAATATAACTTAAAAAGTGTCAGACTGTGTGTACACAAATCATCTGATATCGTCGCAAAAATTGTACATCGCGCAAGTGAAGTATCCACACGAAGAAACAGTAGTATTTTTGGATATTCTGTGCATGTTTGCATAGAAACCTCTTAGATAGGAGTCCGCCAGGCGTTATCACTTCGTCTGATCGAAGGATCCTCCTTTTCCGATTTTAGGGAACTCTCTGTTAACTAAAAATCGCTCACTGACTTACTCACTAATCGAAAATTAAATTTTTGGTTAATTTAGTATATCTCGTGATATAGAAACTTTGCTCTCTATTCCCTAAAAAATATTATAGAGCAACTTCTAAATAACGTTGGACCAAATATGTTACCCTGGAGCAGACACTAAATATGAATGGTTTTGATCGGCAAACGAATAGACAGATCACCAAACGGTAAACAATCGGCGCCGCCCATGGACATTGAGCATCCACAACACCAGAGGAGTTACAAGTGCGTTACCGGCCTTTTTGGGATTTGGGAATGGAAGGGGAAGATTGGGCCTTCGGTAACTTTACCCACATAAAACTAGCATTTTGACACATCTTTTTCTGTGATACTGAATTCTAGACCAGCTGGCTCATTCAACACTTTCAGCAAAAAATAGTATAGTACATTTGTCACCATGGCTAAAGACCTACGCATTTAACAGAGACCGGGCAGCAGCGCTCTCTGGTAAGGGCTCATAAACAATACTGCGATGCGATTTAGTGCAACAACGCGCCTCCCAGGGCGGCTATTCCTTCGACGACCGCCAACCGTACTAAACGTATTTTAAATTAAAAGCTAAGCCGTGCCTTGGATCGTAAAAATAAGCATGCACTTCTGTTTACTTATTGCTTAGGAGATACAGGAAAAAGAAACAAAGATGATTTTGATGCGAATCGATTCGCAAGTTCTGGCGATGCGTAGAGGGAGCTCGCACATTTTTGCGATGCGACGTCATATCGCAGTTTTGTGTACGAGCCCTAAACCTGAAACTTTTCAAATACTATCTCTAATCTGCCAAAGTGGAGCGCTGCTATGTAGAGGAGGCCCTTACTCCAGCAGAGCTTCGTCGCCTGTCCAGTGGAATAACAAGCATATGTGATATTTCAGACCATACCCTTGTTCTTTGCATCTGGATCCCTTCAGCTGTGATTGTGTAACCAACATACACAAAGTCACTAACATACCTAATATGTCGCCTTTTATAGGGATAAAGGAAGGGGTAGGCAATGGTGCACATTATGCCACTGTCCAATGTAACACCCACTTTTAAAAGGCCGGCAACGCACCGGTGACTCCTCTGATGTTGCGGCTGTCCATGGGCGGCGCTGATCGCTTACCATCAGGTGAACAGTCAGCTCGTTCGCCTCCTATTCCATTAAAAAAAAACTTTCCACTATTTATGTTATGAGTCCCATGTAATAGGGGGTGAGCCTATGGTCATATACCGGGCACAATTCCAAACTCCGTGCTACTACTGAGATTTTTTTTAAAACCTAGTAATACTTTGCCCTACTTCGACCCTCACTTGGCCAATGAGGCAGTCTCTCACTGACAAACTTTCAGAATTATAGTAAGGCATTAGTAAAGTGGTGTGGCGAGTTGTCGTTCGACGTGGAGGGCTAAGGGCCGGCCTTTGTCCAGCAGTGGACGTCTTCCGGCTGTTGATGATTGATGATTGATTGATTGATTAGTAAAGTAAGACAACTCACATGGTTCCAGATTAGCAATAGTAGTAGTAGGTTCGGGTTCAGGGTCAGGTATGAATTGTTTTTTTACAAATACCACTTTAATCTTATACATAACATCGTCTCTTTTAATATGCGCTGTCTCATCCACCTGATCTTTTAAATAGCACTCTATTGGAGGATTGTCATGTTCATAATGCAATGTCACTATTCTGGAGATCATCGTTTTGTCTATTGTATCTGCAAATAAACAAATATTAAGAATGATTAGAGTTCATTAATGGCAGTTTTCACCAATAACTAAACTGGCTCTTAGCTGAAACTCACTTAGATGACGTAGCACCTAAACTAATCCCTTACTTGTACTGTTGTGTGTCACTTACAAATTGGTGAAAAGCTAAAGATGTACGAGTAGATGAATCTGATGGTAAAACGAGAGGAGAAACTATTACAAGAGTGTCAACCTTTTGGAGATTTGGGGACCATCATCATCGTCATAACATCACGCCTTTTATCCCCGAAGGGATAGTTAGAGGTGCACAATACGGCACTTAATGCCATTGTACAATGTAACACTCACTTTTCACTATTTAAGTTATAAGTCCCATGTAATAGGGGGTGAGCCTATTGCCATATACCGGGCACAATTTCAAATTCCGTGCCACTACTGAGATTTATTGAAAATGCCCAGTAATACTTTGCCCGACCGGGGAATCGAACCCGAGATCCCTTGCCCGGCAGTCGCAATTGCGACCACTTGGCCAACAGAGTAGCAGAGCATTTGGGGACCAATACCCAAATCTCCAAATCTCCTTTCCATCTCCAAAGACGGGGAGGAAAATTTGGGCTTTTAATAATCTCACCCACATAGCGAAATATATATAACAAACAATAAGTACATACGTTATGTATTGTTTGTTGCCGGTCTGTGAGGCCGTAGTACCACTCCGGTCGAGCCGACCCATTCACACCGAAGACTGGCTTTCCCACTTCCCTAAAGCATTACTTACCATTATGTCGAAAGTGCATATAAACCACATTAACTGGCTGCTCGACTACAGAACATTTTATTTCTATAACTTCGTCAGCATCAAACTCGTAGTAGATAATTTGCAAGTTATCGGTGAATAGTTCCAACACAGTCCGATTAGCTGGTAACGCCATTACCATTATTTTAGTATCTGGAAATATTTACATGAATTAAAACGGTTTAACTAAGTTTGACGACAGAACAGAGTAGAATAGGTAAGTACGTATGGGTCACTTTGAGTCAACCAATTTTGATTGCTAAGTTCGTTGAAATAAGGCTGTAACTAGTACAGCGGTCATGTCCTTTCAGCAGAATACCGTGATATATCACAAGATGCCACGCAGCATTGGGCTCGCTACCATTGCAGCGTTAAGTCCCCTCTTTGAGGAGTGGCTTGAGAGACGCTACGGCGTCCTCACCTACCGCCTGACGCAGGTCCTCACCGGACATGGAAGTTTCGGGAGGTATCTGTGTCTGATGGGGCGGGAGGAAACGCCCAGGTGTCATCACTGCGAGGACCGCCCTGAGGACACGGTGGAACAAACAGTGGGAGAATGCTCTGCGTGGGCTGAGCGTCCGGGCCTAGTGCAGGCCATGATGCGGAGCGAGGGGGACTGGGATGCCGTCTCCTCCTTTTGCGAAGCAGTCATGCTAGCTAAGGAGGAGGCGGGACGCGTGAGGCAGCGAAGCGTTGCCTCCTCGCAACCCAGCCATCGCGAAGGACACACCGGGCGTCGGGGATCGCGGGACGATCTCCGGCCACCGTAAGCGCGGGCCTGCGGACGGCGAGCATGGGTGGCTCCCCATCCGACCAGAAACAGACCCGAGCGTACGGCGCGTTGCGTTCCGCGCGCGCCTAAAGAGCCATCAGACCACCACAGATGGGGCCCAATAGGGCTGTTGCCGATTCGGAGTCGCGGAGAACCTAACGGGTAACCGGGGCTCCGGCTCGACGTGCAGGAGAAGGAACGGGGTGGTTTTTAGTCAGTAAGAGTCTGACACTCCCTTCCGCCTCACAGGCAGCAGAGCTCTTTGTCCATCTGCCAAACTTCTTATAAAGAGGTAGCCGATGATCCATCGTGCTTTTAATATGAATTCGTTTACTTACCATTTAGCAATGTATCGTTAGATTTAAATATTATTTCACAATTCTGTGCGCTATAATTACTTTGTTTATCGTCTACGGAACATCTGAAATTTGGAGTAGTATATGGTTCCGGAGTAAAATGTATGTTTATCTTCTGATCAGGTATTATCACTGAAACAAGTAAATTGTATAACATATTAATATCTTGTCCAAGAATCGTGTGGTTCGGTTACCGGAGGCCCAACCCCCAAAAAGTTTGGCAACGCAATCATAACTCCACTAGTGTCACTAGTGTACAGCGGACTTAAGTTTTAAATATGGGAGAACGATGCTTCGTCACAAATGGGCCGCCCGCTGGTGTTCCAGGTGTCAATGGGCGACGCCGATTGCTTACCATCAGGTGATCCGTCTGCTCGTTTACCGGCTTATTCAATTAAAAACACAGTCTCTTGAAACCACAGAACATATAAAGAAGATTTATATGTTCTGTGCTTGGAACAACGACCGTGGCACCTGGCTACTATAGACTTACACGCAGAACATACTGTGTGTATTGACACGACGAACATCTGGCATTTTCGGAAGTCAGTGCCTTTAGCCAAACGCCACTTTAGCGCTTGTCTACAGAGAGAGTAGTAATCAAAATGTATGGGGATGACACTGACGTAAATTTGCTTTTCTATTCTACATGTAGACAAGCGCTGAATGACATTTGGCTACAGCTCCTGGTATCATGGTAACCCACGCACACATCCTAAGCCAATATTTGAAATAAATCTTACCAGTTTCATTATATTTGGCACCCTGAAAACTTTTATTCAACAACCATAGTTTGTAATTTGGAGTTGTTTCACAAACGACATCTATGTTACTGTTGCTCTTGTGTATATAATTTATTCTATACAGAACTTGGTTGATTTTTTTAAGTTCTGGTCGTATTATTATTCCATTTATTGTTATATTCATTTTTTCATCTGTGGAATGCAAAATTGAATTCAAAAAGTGACATATCAGCGTTTGTATCGAAAATTGAAAAGCGTCCTTAGATCGACCTTCACTGATTTGATAGCTAGATGACAACCAAAGCAGTGAAGGTCGATATTAGGACGGCTTTTAGAGGCTTTTACTAGCTGTTGCCTGCGACTTCGTTCGCGTAGAACAGTCAAAGTCAAAGCATTTATTTCAATTAAACCATAGTTTGGTACTTTTGAAACGTCAACAAATACAAAATAAATAATAGTCTGTCAGTCAGTCCGTCAGTGAAACTAGGTGAAGCTAGGTGCTCATTCCAAAAAGTAGATTCGAATGGAGAAGAACGAGCAAGAAACTCCATTCGTTGCTCCTTTTAAAAAAGTATGTTCTACAATGTCTCTGATACATATATCAATACTGTACGCATATGTAAGAACAATGCAAAGACACGCTTGACGCATTATACTAATTACTAAACTTACTAAACTTACTAAAATAAAAAATAAATAAAAATTTTAAAGTCCAACATGATGCTCACATATGCATACTGACAATCCATAGAATTAGTGCTTCTATATAAGAAAAGGAAACTCTTTGTTTCAATAAAGAAATGCTCGATGCCATAGGGAAACTAGATTGTACAGTGTTTCCCAAAGTGGCCGCCCCCTTAGTGCCAGCGGTGCGGGCGGTAGGTGCGAACGCCGTAACGTCCTTCAAGCCACTCCTCAAAGAGGGGGTTCTACCGCTGCAATGGCAGCGAGCCCAGCCCTCGGTTGCGACAGTCGTTGCTGCCATTCCGCCATGAGATCGCGCCGAAGCTCATCCCGATACGCATTAATCTGCCACGGCAGATGGGGCTCAGTATGACTAATGCCCGACCAGGATGACGGACAACGTCATCGTTGATTTTTTTTTTTTCTTCTTTGGCAACTGAGTCTCCAAAACGGTGTTGTCGACTATACTGCCAGTGTCGAGTGGAATCGTTGATTTGTTTCATTGATAGTCCATGTGCGTGAACTGTCATCTGACATGATACCACAGACTGCTTAGTAAAATTACGAATCAAGTATGAAAATGAAAATCTTACCTGATAGTTTTATGAATCTTAGTCTCACTATAGTATAATCTGATTGGTTTTTCAGCGTGAACAAGCAGTATTTGCCATCATGCAATGAAGTTAACGTCGTTTTGAAACCAAGTCTTTTACTCGATTTGAAATCAGGATCTGGAACTAAAGTAACAAATACTATTGTTTAATAAATAATAATAAATAAATAATAACAGGATTAATAATGAAATTCGGCCATATTGTTTCAATAACTACAACGTTTTAGCATTCGTTTCGTTATCGTTTTTGACGATCACGATCGAGGCGTTGGCGAACACTGAAAGGTCTGCTTGTCTACGCATTTATATGGAATAAACACGATAACGATTCGTTACTTTATAGTTTCGTTATGAAATATAACATTGTCTACCAAATTGCGATAACGATGTCGATTGACCACGTGACTTAACGCGGCTTATGTCAATCCCATACATTTTAGTCTTAACTAACTTCGTTATCGTTTTTAACACAGAACATATAAAAATTGTTACTTTGTCTAAGCCCCCTGTATCGTTTTTGACGTTTCTAGAAAAGTATTGAATTTAACTAGTTAACAACTACCGTATTACCTACATGATCTAGCTGATCATGTTTTTCGCTTTCGTGATAACTTCAGTGTTGCAGGTGTACTTAGCCTACGGTGGGTGTTCACATACCATCAGGCAAGCCGTAAGCTTAGAGGAGTTTTATAAAATACTAGCTTTTACCCGCGGCTTCGCTCGCGTCACAAAAGGATAAAAAGTAGCCTATGTGACATATACCAATACACACAGCGCCATCTATACCAATACTTTTGTTTTCCCTCGGGAATATCAAATTTTTCCGGGATAAAAAGTACCCTATTATTTAAACTGTCAAACACCAAGCGGTCACCGGTGACCGCGACCTATTGTTCTTTAATTGTGTCTATAAAACCGGTACTCGACGAGTTAATCCGGACTTCTAACTTTATGTCTGCAAAAATTCAAAGCAATCGGTTCAGTAGTTACGGCGTTAAAGTGGAACAAACAAACAAACTCACTTTCCGATTTATAATATAAGTAAGGATTGGTATAAATCGGTTACATTCACAGAAATATTTAAAATCATATCTGTGGTTACATTTGACCAGACAACACGATTAGTGCAGTGACTGAGCAACGTGTCGCGGGTTCGATTCCCGCACGGAACAACTCTTTGTGTGATCAACAAATTATTGTTCCGGGTCTGGATGTCATGTGTATGTGAACTTGTATGTTGGGAAACGCAACAACGACACAGGAGAAAATCCTAGGATGGAGCAACGTTTTTAAATATATATATATTTTACGAGCAAAAAACACTTACGGCTTAAACTTTTGTCAACATCAGGACATTGCATAGTAATTGTATTGTACATATTGTAATTGTCAGGCACACAAATAATGTTAACCTCGTCTCCGACTTCATAATCGTAGACAGCAAAAAAGTCGACTTCTTCCGACTGCTGTGTTCTTTTTAGTTCCATCTCCATATTGTTAACTAGGATGACCATAGGAGCCTCTGTAATGATATTATAAAGAAGATACGCTACGATCATACTAAGCGGCGTCCAAAAATTGTTGCGTTCTTATTACAAATGTACTTAAATGTCATTTTCAACTACGTGCGACAGATAATACGGAAAGTATGGTACAGAAAGAGATAGCTATTATAAAATTACGACAATTGTCTGAATTCGTTCGCAACAATTTTTGCGTGCCAGTGCGATATCTACCTCTTTTTATTATTTATAATATCATTGAGCCTCTGTAATAAGTCAAAACAATTATTTCAATAAAATCAAAAAGGCCTCACTCGTTGGCCGAGTGTCGCAAGTGCGGCTGCCGGGCAAGGGGTCTCGGGTTCGATTCCCGAGTCGGGCAAAGTATTACTGGGTTTTTACTTTTTACTGGAATTGTGCCCGGTATATGACAATAGGCTCATCCTCTATTACATGGGACTCATAACATAAATTGTGAAAAGTGGGTGTTACATTGTATAGTTGCCACTATAAGTGCCGTAATGTGCACCTCTATTTGGTTATGCCATCTCTTTTGTTTCACCTGATGGTAAATAATCGGCGCCGTCCATTCACACCACAATACTTACGAGTACGTTGCCGGTATTTTGGGATTGGGGATTTAGGGATTTGGTATACGGAGATTGAGGAAATTAGGTGTCCAAAACGTAAGTATTTGTTTGACGCCAGTTTTCCATGAAGCCGTGGTATTACTCCGGTCGAGCCGACCCCATGTGCCGATGCATGGCTCTCTCACACTTAATAAACTATTATGTTTTCGGCCTTCTCACGTAATAATTTGACGAGGAACTCGACTAGTTTCAAGCCATGCTACAGGCTCATATTCATGAGCAACATTTTGCGACCCGCGACGCAGCGACTGTCGCGCTGCTACTTGAAACCAGTCGAGTTCCTTGTCAAATTATTACGTGAGTAAGCCGAAAACATAATAATTTACTTAAATATATCTTTCACAAGACCTCCTTCCGGGAAACAGTTTCTTATAGGGTTCACAACGCATACGCATAATCCAGACATCTTCTTACAAGCTTTCGCTATAACTACTTATTTTTCCCATCTCCAACCCCGAAATGGAAAAGCCATGTTTCGGTACGAATAAACCGCCTCGACCGAAATGATACCACGAGGGAAATCAGCGTGAAACAACACCTGAGCTATGCCGTATAGGTACGGTTACAGGCTAAATCTTCCCCAACTACAACTTTTAAATGCTCAATCCAAAAATCGACAACGCACCTGTACCGTCCTCTGGTGTATAAGGTTGGTGCTGTTTGCTTACCATCAGGCGATCAGCAAACTCGTTTGCCGGGCTTTCCGAAAATTAATAGTCATACATAGATTTACCTAAATTTTGGAACATGTTTTTTAGCTAAGTAATCGTTTATGGCGGTTATCAGCTCAATCTGTTAAAGAGACTGAGCAGTTAAACAAAAACTTGTAAAAACCTTTAAGGACGTATAGTTTATACTTACTCTTTCGTCGAACGTGGATTTTCATGGAACAAATAGTTCTTGCAAAGTTATAAGCATCCTTATTAGTATACAATATTTCGTGATAAATATTTGGATTTCCCTTCAGAGAAAGGAAACTACACTCCCATACCCCTCCCATTTCTTTCGCCACTTTATACTGTCAAAAGAATGTAAAAATAGGTTATATTCTTAAAGAAGTTCAAGGTCACTAAGCGTACTATGCCATGGGGTACGTAGTATGTACAGTATTTCTTTGCAAGATCATAATTTTTTTCATTATCTAACTGACGGACTAATTAAATTTTTAATGTTGATAATGTCACTTTAGTTAGGTTATCGAATTACAGTCCATTCGTTTGCCCAAGCTTAAGTTACAGTACTAAAAATATTGTAGTAAAATTGTAATAAAAATTCTGACTTACTGTCGATTCATTCCTGTAAGGATTTCTGTATGTAGTTCCAAATGTATCATCAAAGTGTTTACTATAACACCTGTAAACAAATATATAAATTAACTACATAACAACCGCACAAATTCTACCTTTTATTATTTAAGGGTCTGAAGGAATGTAAATACATATAGACAAGTGACATAATTTTCTCTCAAAAAATTGATCAATGACGGAGATGTTCCATCGTCGAATCGACCGGAGTCCAGAGTGATACCACTGCCTCATAAAACACCAGTGTAACATTACCTCAGCGTTGTGGTTCATAGGTTCTCAGGGTATTGGAGGCCTAATTACTCATAATTCCTCTGGATCCATGGGCGGCACCGATGGCTTACCATCAGGTTAGCATACAACTGCTAGTACGATTGGGTGGCAAACGAATCGTGCTCATAAACTTTTTTTCGAATTCTATTCGATAAGTTTTTGTTTTATTGGGCTACTGTTTCCAATCACAAGAAGTAGGAACGCCGCAACGACCGTCACCAAAGGAATGCGGATAGTGTGGGAAAGCCATAGTTCGGCACAAATGGGCCGGCTCAACCGGAGTGATACCATAGTCTCGCAGAAAACCAATGTGAAACAACATTTGCGTTGTGTTTCGTCGTGTGAGTTACCGGCGGCCCAATTACCCCCCTCCCCAATCCCCAAAAATCCCCAAAATGCTGGTAACGCACTTGTAATGTAGCGTTTCAGATGTCCATAGGCGGCGCCGATTACTTACGTCTGCTAGGCTTATTTATCGGCTTATCCGATAAATAAAAGTAAAAACTAAATAAACTTACTTTGCTTCATTAATTACTTTGTTGTAGTTCGTCCTTATTTTGAATTCATTTCCTTCTCTAACTGTATACACTTGCATATCATCTATTCGATGATCGCACGTCGGCTTCAGCATCCCAGTCACGTTATACATTTGAATTCCAAACGTAATAACAACATCGCCTGTAAATAATGAAGAGTATATTATCTATTTATATACGTCTATATATATAAAAGAAAGTCGTGTTAGTTACACCACTTATAACTCAAGAACGGCAGAATAGATTTGGCTGAAAATTGATAGGGAGATAGCTTAGAGCCAGGAGACCGACATAGGATACTTTATAACCAAAATTTTACTTTTTTTTTTCGGAAAATCACGAACGGGAACGGGAAAAAATGGAATTACGCGTACGAAGTCGCGGGCAGAAGCTAGTATTATATACTACATACTTCCACGCGATTTCACCCGCTCTGCTCGGCACCTATTGACCGTAGCGTGAAGTTTTAGAGTCCATAGCCTTCATTGATAAATGGACTATCGAACGCATATCGAAGTTTACAAATCGGACCAGTAGTTCCTTAGATTAGCGCGTTCAAACAAACAAACAAATAAATTCTACAGCTTTTATAAGATAAAGGTTAAAAGTATAAAAGTATAAGTACAAATATGAGGCGTTCTGTCCTGTACCTAGCTTCACTGCAACTGACTGACAGTGACAGACTAATATTTATTTTGTATTTGTTGACGTTTCAAAAATACCATACCATGGTTTAATTGACATAAATGCTTTGACTTTGAATTTGAAATGTTGGGGATGCAGTGTAGAGAATTTCAGAAAAATAAGATAGACACTCTAAAATTGTGGTGCTCGAGAAAAATGGCGTAAGCTGGACGCAGGATCACACTAACGTCTCAATCGGGACGATGACAGGGTATGAAAATTAAAAATTTAATTAATCCGTAAGTTAGGTAATGAAAAAATATTAGACACGTACTTTTTTAGTTTGTCGTATTTTTTTTATGGCATAAGTCGGTAAACGAGCAGACGGATCACCTGATGGTAAGCAATCGGCGTCGCCCATGGACACCTAGAACACCAGAGGCGTTACAAGTGCGTCACCGGCTTTTTGGGGATTAGATGTTTGAGGATCGTTGGGGATTCAGGGATTGGGGAGATTGGGGAAGGGGAAGGTAACCTCACTCACACGACGAAACACAACGCAAGCGTTGCTTCATGTCGGTTTTCTGTGAGGCCGTGGTATCACTCCGATCGAGCCGGCCCATTCGTGTCGAAGCATGGCTCTCCCACACTTAAATTCGTATGATAAAACAATAGTTAGATAAAACGAATCAAAGTTTACGAGTGGGGGCTAAAACGTCATTTCTACGTATAAAATGTACATAGAAGTGACGTCACGCAACATTTCAAATCAATATATCGTCGAAAGTATTCGTTTCTGTAAGAAAATAAAAAAATACGTGTCTAATGATTTAAAATAATCTACCAGGCGGACATTAAATTAAGGCATCTACCCTATTCTCCAAGAGCTCGAGATAAAGTACCTATCGTCTATTTTCCCTCGTCCAGAGTCGCATTCTCACTTTCTTTAGCCATATCACCCTTCGAGGAAACCTTTCCATGGAATGGTTTGTAGTACGAGGGAAGGTTGATGACACAAGAACACGTGACTGGTCACAGATGCGATGGACGGATCAAACAAAAACTACACTCAATGGTCCAATTTACAGGCAGAGGCAGTGTGCGGCGACTAGCGACGAATTATGAAGCTTGCCACCTACATGACGAACACCACCACTCTCCCAAGAGTGTAACGACTAGGAAAAGACATGGGACGTGATGATTTAGCTTCAGGTGGATCGGTAAAAGGAGTGACTGCCTCGTTGGCCGAGTGGTCGCAATTGTGTGACTGCCGGGCAAGGGGTCTCGAGTTCGATTCCCGGGTTGGGCAAAGTACTACTGGGTTTAAAAAAAATTCGCAGTGAGTCTGGAAATGTGCCTGGTATATGGCAATAGACTCACCCCCTATTACATGGGACTCATATTATAAATAGTGAAAAGTTGCTGTTACATTGTACAGTGGCATTAAGGTTAAACTAGTCGCGGGCTCGAACTCAATCAAGGGCGTGGCCAAAAAGCGCTCTGTCTCATCTAACATCGTGTGCGACAGAAATAGTACCAGTGATGAGCAGTTAGACGCTATCTATTTGCACGACGTATTGTTCGCACGCACACAAACACAGCAAAACGTCACTGAACGGTGCATATATCTGTGCTGTGTGTGTTTACTCGTAGTAAAGTCGTACGCGCTGCTACGATTTTATGATGCTCGCATGAATTTTAGTAATTATTGTCACAGGGCATTGTAATTACTGAAATTTTTTTATGAAAAGTTGATAACACAATATCCGAAGAATCTACGAAAGGCTAGGGATGTAATTTTGTAGCTAAGCAGTTACTTTTTTTTTCTAAGTACCAATATTTATGTATGTACCTACAATAAGTATGTATGTACCTACAGTAGGTACAATTATGTACCTACTAAACCTAATAGGTACCTACAATATTTGTTGTATTTGTTTAGTTTTCGTAAAAGTAGGTAATTACCTAAAAGTATGTTTACTTGCTAAAAATAAAGTAAGAAACGTAATAAAAAGTATAGTTGACAACCCCAATCGAGTTCTCACGGAGCGCGATAGCCACAAAATATAAAGGTGTTACCTAGTTAGTTCTATGGCATAACTACATACAAAGCGCGCTCGAGCACGTAGGTATAAACAGTGAAGCAGGTACATACCTACATGAGATTGACTTCTGTACCTATGTATTTTGTGCGAAAACATTCGGTTTGGCGGTTGCCCGTTGATATTATCAATATTCCTACTTGCGGTAATCTACAATAATCTATATATATAAAATTCAAAGGTGATTGACTGACTGACTGACTGACATAGTGATCTATCAACGCACAGCCCAAACCGCTGGACAGATTGGGCTAAAATTTGGCATACAGATAGATTTTATGACGTAGGCATCCGCTAAGAAAGGATTTTGATAATTTCCACCCCCAAGGGGGTAAAAAAGGGGATGAAAGTTTGTATGAAACTTTGTCAGTTTTTAACTGATCGGGTTGAAATTTGGCATGCAGATAGATGTTATGACGTAAGCATCCGCTGTGAAAGGATTTTGATAATTTCCACCCCCAAGGGGGTAAAATAGGGGATGAAAGTTTGTATGAGACTTTGTCAGTTTTAAACCGATCGGGTTGTAATTTGGCATGCAGATAGATGTTATGACGTAAACATCCGCTGTGAAAGGATTTTGATAATTTCTACCCCAAGTGGGTAAAATAGGGGATGAAAGTGTTTTGAGACATTGTCAGTTTTAAATCGAGCGGGTTGAAATTTGGCATGCAGATAGATGTTATGACGTAGGCATCCGCTGTGAAAGGATTTTGATAATTTCCACCCCTAAGTGGGTAAAATAGGGGATGAAAGTTTATACGAGCCTTTGTCAGTTTTAAACCGATCAGGTTGAAATATGGCATGCAGATAGATGTTATGACGTAAGCATCCGCTTTGAAAGGATTTTGATTATTATTTCCATCTTCCATCTATATATATAAAATTCAAAGGTGATTGACTGACTGACTGACTGACATAGTGATCTATCAACGCACAGCCCAAACCGCTGGACAGATTGGGCTAAAATTTGGCATACAGATAGATTTTATGACGTAGGCATCCGCTAAGAAAGGATTTTGATAATTTCCACCCCCAAGGGGGTAAAAAAGGGGATGAAAGTTTGTATGAAACTTTGTCAGTTTTTAACTGATCGGGTTGAAATTTGGCATGCAGATAGATGTTATGACGTAAGCATCCGCTGTGAAAGGATTTTGATTTTCCACCCCCAAGGGGGTAAAATGGGATGAAAGTTTGTATGAGACTTTGTCAGTTTTAAACCGATCGGGTTGTAATTTGGCATGCAGATAGATGTTATGACGTAAACATCCGCTGTGAAAGGATTTTGATAATTTCTACCCCCAAGTGGGTAAAATAGGGGATGAAAGTTTGTATGAGACATTGTCAGTTTTAAATCGAGCGGGTTGAAATTTGGCATGCAGATAGATGTTATGACGTAGGCATCCGCTGTGAAAGGATTTTGATAATTTCCACCCCTAAGTGGGTAAAATAGGGGATGAAAGTTTATACGAGCCTTTGTCAGTTTTAAACCGATCAGGTTGAAATATGGCATGCAGATAGATGTTATGACGTAAGCATCCGCTTTGAAAGGATTTTGATTATTATTTCCACCCCCAAGGGAGTAAAATAGGGGATGAAAGTTTGTATGAAACTTTGTCAGTTTTTAACTGATCGGGTTGAAATTTGGCATGCAGATAGATGTTATGACGTAAGCATCCGCTGTGAAAGGATTTTGATAATTTCCACCCCCAAGGGGGTAAAATAGGGGATGAAAGTTTGTATGAGACTTTGTCAGTTTGAAACCGATCGGGTTGAAATTTGGCATGCAAATAGATGTTATGACGTAAGCATCCGATGTGAAAGGATTTTGATAATTTCCACCCCCAATGGGGGTAAAATAGGGGATAAAAGTTTGTATGAGACTTTGTCAGTTTTAAACCGATCGGGTTGTAATTTGGCATGCAGATAGATGTTATGACGTAGGCATCCGATGTGAAAGGATTTTGATAATTTCCACCCCCAATGGGGGTAAAATAGGGGATGAAAGTGTGTATGAGACTTTGTCAGTTTTAAACCGATCGGGTTGTAATTTGGCATGCAGATAGATGTTATGACGTAGGCATCCGATGTGAAAGGATTTTGATAATTTCCACCCCCAATGGGGAAAATAGGGGATGAAAGTTTGTATGAGACTTTGTCAGTTTTAAACCGATCGGGTTGAAATTTGGCATGCAGATAGATGTTATGAAGCATCCGCTTTGAAAGGATTTTGATAATTTCCACCCCCCAAGGGGGTAAAATAGGGGATGAAAGTTTGTATGAGACATTGTCAGTTTTAAATCGATCGGGTTGAAATTTGGCATGCAGATAGATGTTATGACGTAGGCATCCGCTGTGAAAGGATTTTGATAATTTCTACCCCCAAGTGGGTAAAATAGGGGATGAAAGTTTGTATGAGACATTGTCAGTTTTAAATCGATCGGGTTGAAATTTGGCATGCAGATAGATGTTATGACGTAGGCATCCGCTGTGAAAGGATTTTGATAATTTCCACCCCCAAGTGGGTAAAATAGGGGATGAAAGTTTATATGAGCCTTTGTCAGTTTTAAACCGATCAGGTTGAAATTTAGCATGCAGATAGATGTTATGATGTAAGCATCCGCTTTGAAAGGATTTTGATAATTTCCACCCCCAAGGGAGTAAAATAGGGGATGAAAGTTTGTATGAAGCTTTGTCAGTTTTACACCGATCGGGTTGAAATTCGGCGTGCAGATGGATATTATGACGTAAACGTCCCTTTAGAAAGGTTTTTGAACATTCTCACCCTAAAGTGGGTAAAATAGGGGGTGAAAGTTTGTATGATACTTTGCCAGTTTTAAATTGATCAGGCTGAGACTTTGCATGCATAAAGTTACTATGACATAGGTATCTCTTTAGAAAGGATTTTGATAAATTCCACCCCTAAGGGGATACAATAGGGAATGAGAGTTTGTATAAATCTTCTTAGCCATTGAATTTATAATTATTGAATCTTTTTGTATTACATTCGGTAAAACGATGATTTAGGACCTGGGTAACGTTTGATAGTTTTTTCACAGATGTCTCACGAGAACGGAAACTATGCGTCAATGCCCCAGGACTCTCTAACTCTTAACCACTGAACTTATTCTAGAGAGATTCGGTACAACAATAGTCGATTGAATAGTTTTTATTACTCAAACCTTACGTGATTGGGCACTGTACTGGTAAGATCCTTGCGGGATTATTTATTTATTGAAACTACGATAAATCATTTCAAAATAGGTAAATCTTACTTGGGCACTGAATTGATTCTGGTTAATTCTGTCAGAAGTCATTAATCTACGCGGACGAAGTCGCGGGCAACAGCTAGTTTATTATAAAGAGCCTAAAGAGGTAAAGTTTGATTTATAATAAGCATGATCATTTCTTGTCTGGGTGTTTTTACCTAATTATAATAATATGTAAATATTTAGAAATATACCTCTAAGTATGTATATCTGTTGTCTAGTAGGTACTTACACATAACACAAGCTCTGCTTAGTTTGGGACTGGACAGGGTAGGTACCTACAGAGTTGTGTGATAGTTGTGGAATATTATTATTACTTAGGTATTATTAGGAAGGATGGCTAAACAAGCATACCGTAGGTACGTAAACGTAGTGTACCTGCTAGTAAAATATCAATTCGGTCCAGCCGAATTGAACATTGACCTGAACAAATAGAAAGACAGACAGACGGAAAAATAATAAATAGGAAAAATAAAAAAAATAACATAACACATAACATAACATCACGCCTTTTTATCCCCGAAGGGATAGGCAGAGGTGCTCATTAGGTATACCACTGTACAATGTAACACCCACTTTTCACTATTTATGTTATGAGTCCCATGTAATAGGGGATGAGCCTATTGCCATATACCGGGCACAATTCCAGACTCCGTGCTACTACTGAGGATATTTAAAAACCCAGTAATACTTTGCCCGACCCGGGAATCGAACCCGAGACCCCTTGCCCGGCAGTCGCACTTACGACCACTCGGCCAACGAGGCAGTACACAGTATACAAAAACAAATAAATAAAAAATGTGTTTAAAAACTATTTATTTGTTTTTTCTGTCTATCTGTCTTTCTGTTTGTTATACGTAGGTACCTATGTCCAAAGGAATAAGTAGTTTTTTTTACCTACTTATCGTGCAAATAGCAGTGTGAGTATGAAAAAATCTATGTAGGAAGGTATTTTAATATTTGGTACAAACTGACACTGCAATTTATTTACATTGTTTAGTATAGGTATATCGATTTTACGATAAATAATATAAGTATCGTACACCTCGCACTATAATACCTACGGACAGTTTACTTACAAGCTTTTATATAGGTAGGTAGGTACTTACTCGTGGCTTCGTTGATAACTAACAATTATATTTTTGTTCAACTTACGTACCGCGAATAACACCTTAGTACCTACCTACCTAATAAATAGGGTACGATCGTGTCATCGTATAAAGGGCACCTTGTGTAGGTATGGACCTACTCCTATCCTACCTATCGACACCACACCACCGCACCAGTCGCAAAGCTCCAGTCGTAAGATAAGGGTAAGGAGAATAGTCTACACATACGATACAAACCACGTAGGCCACAGCAGCAGACTAAGTGGACCGAGTCCAAAACAATAGAAAATAGTCAAATGATTTGCACGACACGTGCTGTCGTGCAAAAAATTGTGCAAAAACGCGTGAGCGTCTTCCCTCCGCCCCGCGCCGCTGCCGGGAGAATTTTATCAAATGAAATGCACGATAATTCATCGTAAAACGAGTGCGTATAAAAGTACGATTTAGTGATTTAGAAAAAAGCGATTTTTGAAAAAACCACTGCTTAGATCAATTTCAAATAAATTTTATAGAACTCTCTGGTAATTGTGCTGTGTCGGTACGGTCTACGTTTTGGAGATTTTACACGATTAGTGGTACTTTTTAACACCCAAAGTTGCGTCAAAATTGTCATGAAAAACAAAACTTTGGTGGCTCATAACTTTTTAATCGTGTGTTTTATTTTTTTTTTGTTTCCGTACCGACAAATGTAATTACAAGATAAAACGTTGTCGTGTTTAATTTTGGAGATACAAATTCACACTGTGGAGTAATACCACCCCGAACTTTCTATGGAAAAAATATCGACTAGTGTAACCTTAAGTGCCGTAATTAGCACCCCTTTTTTTAAAGGGGAAAAATCATCGATTGATTTTCCAGTCTAGGTGAGACGGGAGGGAGTGTCAGACTCTTAATGACTAAAAACCACCCCGATCCTACTCCTGTACTTCGAGCCGAAGCCCCAGTAACCCGTTAAGTTCTCCGCGGCTCCGTATCGGTATCTATTGGGCCAGATCCGTGTGATGGCTCTTTGAGGCGCGCGTGGAACGCGACGCGCCCCACGCTTGGGTCCGGGTCTGGTTCTGACCTACCCATGCTCGTCGTCCGTAGGCCCGTGCTTACGGTGGCCGGAGATCGTCTCGCGATCCCCGACGACGGAAGTGTCCTTCACGACGGCTGGACTGCGAGGATGCAACGCTTCGCTGCCTCACGCGCCCCGCCTCCTCCTTAGCTAGCATAACTGCTTCGCAAAAGGAGGAGACGGCATCCCAATCCTCCTCGCAATGTGCACCCCTTCCTCGCCCCCACCTCTTCCTCTTCGTTGGCCGAGTGGTCGCAAGTGCGACTGCCGGGCAAGGGGTCTCGGGTTCGGCTCCCCCGGGTCGGGCAAAGTATTACTGGGCTTTAAAAAAAATCTCAGTAGTAGCACGGAGTCTAGAATTTTTCGCGGCATACGGCAATAGACTCACCCCCTATTACATGGGACTCATAACGTAAATAGTGAAAAGTGGGTGTTACATTGTACATTGGCATTAAGTGCCGTAATGTGGTCCTCTCCGGCCCTTTCGGGGATAAAACGCGTGATGTTTGTATTTTGTTTTACTTTATTTTTTCCTTGGTATTTGTATCGTTCTATTTAAATAAATAAATGAACGCCCGCTAGAGAAATATCAGAACAATATTTTGTTAATTTTTCAATAGGTATTAAAAACTGTTAAATGTCAGAGTAAGATGTTTAGAGATACTTTTATTCTATAGTTAAGTATTATCTGTTGCTTGATTTTTCGTTTTCTTCTCTTCTAATAAATATAATATCTTCTGATTTATTTCATTACGTCATCCAAGACTATAGAACGAAGATATTTATTTATGTCCTTGAGTTACGTCTGACTGACTGCATTGTACCAATGATTTCATGGCTACATCTTCTGTTAATCGTCGTGCACAGAAGTTGCAGCAGTTTTGGGAGATTTATGAATTGCTTGTCACAATAAAGAAATCCCTACTTTCATTTGTTCTTGATTATAAAGATTTGTAAATTAGCTGATATAATATCGCAATAAGCGTTGTATGGACCATTCTTACCTATCTAAAAATTGGCAAGGTCTTAATTCTTTACATAGGTACCCACATCTTACTCTAAATATATAAATACAATCGCTTGACTGGACAGCAGACAGGTTATACGACACACATGCCACTCATTCTTATCTTGTTCTGAACCCAATACAAGACACAAACACAGCATAGACACAGGCATACTTAATTAAACGCACTAACACACAGAATTCCATAAATAAATATTAAAGAAACCATTAACTACGTGTTAATCATATTTTTAGATAGACCAACAACGCCCTATAAGGGGAAAATAGTTTATAACTTATCAAAATATTAGTTGAATTTCATGTCAAAGTGTTAAACATGTTTATTGAAATATGCACCTTACCTGCTTCGACAAGATCTAGCAAAAGACAGCTGATGAAAGTAGTAATAAGTATAATTTTTAAACAACACATTGTCACGTTACTTTAATTAATATGATGGAGGATACTGATCATTTGTATGATTATAGGAGAACAATACGTACATTATTGTGGTTATAATGTGACTGTAAAGTTGTGTTCGTAGTCACCGATGATTTAATAAATCGATTCCTGCTGACTCATCGATACATTTTATTCGAGTTGAATTCCCATAAAATGTGCGATATTTCACGTAATACGTACGTAGGTACCAACGCAGGACCTCTTTGTAACAGTGTATCTAAAATTGAGATTTTTTAGTAATTAGATGGGCAGGCATGTCATCCTCAACAGCGACTAAGAAACTGCTGGACTACAGCTCTACAAAAGCAGTTTTGCCATATAATCTTTATTTTTTTATGGGATAAGCCGGTAAACGAGTAGCCGGATCACCTGATGGTAAGCAAACTGATGGACACCTGGAACGCCAGAAGCATTACAAGTGTGTTGCCGGACTTTTGGAGATTAGTAGTTTGAGGATTGTTGGGGATTCAGGGATTGGAGAGATTCGGGAATGGGAGGGTAATTGGGCCTACGGTAACCTCATTCACATGACGAAACACAACGCAAGCGTTGCTTCACGTGGGTTTTCTGTGTGGCCGTGGTATCACTCCGGGCAAACCGGCCCATTCCAGATTTTTCACTTTATGATTGGCAGCATAGATATCCTTATTCCTTACTTCCTTACTTATATTATAAATCCGAAAGTGAGTTTGTTTGTTTGTTCCACTTTAACGCCGTAACTACTAAACCGATTGCTTTAAATTTTTGCAGATGTATAGTTAGAAGTCCGGATTAAATAATAGGGTACTTTTTATCCCGGAAAAAATTGATATTCCCCAGGGAAAACAAAAGTATTGGTATAGATGGCGCTGTGTGTATTGGTATATGTCACATTGGCTTTTTATCCTTTTGTGACGCGAGCGAAGCCGCGGGTAAAAGCTAGTCTATAATAAAGAAGATATTTCTGTCGTTTGCAAACAGGTTAAGGATTGCAGTGTCAAAGAATCGGATGTATCAGGAAAGTTAGAAAAAACAATACGGTAGTTAACAACTATTCAAATTCAATACTTTATCGAAACGTCAATAACGATACTGTTCCATGAATTTTGTACGAAATTACCATCTTATGACGTCATCATATTTTCGCGTCAAATATCACACTTATATCTAAAAAAATGCTAGAATAAATCGGAAATTAAGTATATAGACAAATCAATGAATGAAAGTGTAACTATTTTTCAATATTTAATTGGACTGAAAAATCAAAATAATTTATTTTTGACCCAGGAAACTACCCAATTTGACGTTTTACAAGATTACCACTAAAATCTAATACAATTTCTATGTAAATAAAATCGATTACTTATTCGAATAATAAGTACCAACGGTACATACCTACCTAGTTTATTATATTCGATTCGGTTAACTAAAGCTATCTATTATCCTCATAGCCAGTAATTTTCCTGTATTCAAGCATATCAAAAATAAAATAAATGTGTAGTTTTCGATGTCATATAATATTTCGTAAATATTGCTTACTAATCGATTATGAGGAAAATATATTTTTATTGAATAGTTTGCTTCAGTGCACTTCCCCGGCGACCTGACGCCATAACACACGTACCTCTAGATATAAAAACTCAAACGGGTGCTTGGACTAGTGGGTTAAAAGGGGAGCTGCTGGGTGATAATATTAATGTAGGTATTTAAATCGATATGACTGCAGACCGAAAATATATAGGTAGGTATATATTATATAGCTCCCGTCTATGGTAGCTAGCTATTTCATAGTATACATATTGCTCGATATATTAAAACATAGGTAGGTACCTATTATCGCTAGGTGTATGACGACTTCAATGGTTCTATGTTCATGAAACTTTGCATTTATACCTAATGGTAGGTACTTACCTAAGTAGTAAATCTAAGCAGGTAGGTACTTACCTACCTACCTGCTTAGATTTGATAACCACGCAAGGTTTCCAACTCATCCTAGGCAGGTACTCCAATCTACCAGTCCATCAATAGGTTCTTCACTCTTCTGTGGTACTTGGCAACTGGGCTTCTTTCAGTTGTACAGTCTCTTTTGGTGCCTTTCGGTTTTTTTTTTTAAGGGAGGATAATCATCGAATAACTGCTCCCGCCTGGGTGAGGCGGGAGAGAGTGTCAGACTCTTACTGACTAAAAACCACCCCATTCCTTCTCCTGCACGTCGAGCCGGAGCCCCGGTTACCCGTTAGGTTCTCCGCGACGTGCCTTTAGGCTTAATTCATTGTCTTATGCAGTAATTTACCGAGGGAAGTGGAAACTACTTATCGTTTTTTTTCTTCTAATATTATAAGAGAAGAAAAAAAACTAGAATTCACTTCGTTGCGGGAACCAAGACAGTTACTCAAGTCCCTGGGACGCGCCGGATTTCAGTGTTCCGGTGTTATTATGGTTGTATCTACTGTAGATCTTGGCTTACAGGAGTTGCATCGGATTTGGGAGGTTGTGGCGGGCTCGTCCCTTAAAAAATAAAAATAAAAAGGTACTTCATTCTGTCCTGCGACAGGCCACCAAGTACTTACCTAAAATAAATATAAATAATCTAATATAAAAGAAAGTGCCTAATTGCCTATATACCTTTTGTATTTTTCATAACAGGCCGATTGATAAAATTATGATACAATTATTGTAGGAATGCGAATAGTGGAGGAAACTCTAGGCCTATGAATTTTTTACAATAATTTCAATCGTCCAATAGACTAATCAAAATATTACTTTAATATTTTTTGGAAGAACCCACTTCAACCTCCTCAACCACTGCAAAACTTGTAAGACAGGATCTGCACAATACAGCAACAAGATAAATTAGTCATAGTTTACTAGTGCCATCTAGATTGTTTCAGTTAAACTACTTGGTAACTAAGACACAAATTATTATCATTACAGAATGTAGATGTCGCTTCTAGTCGCAGTATGTATTCTGTTTAAAAATAAAGTGTTCAACAAATTACATTTTTTGGTTTTAGTTTTATTTATTTATTTATAGGAGTGAATATAGTATATGAGTAATAAGATCATACTTCAATGCTCAATTTTTATTAAACAAAATGCGTTTCCATAAAAAGTGGTGTGTCCTACACAGAATGCCCAAGAGATGGCGCTATAAGTACATTTTGAAAGTTCAACAATAGTTTTTCTATTTCTGCGAAGTAATTTAGTTTTTGGCTTCACTTTACATAATTAATTTAGGGGCCGCTATCTATAATGTCGTCATTAATTAAAATACATGAGACAAAATCAGCATACCTGTGAATAAGTTACTTTGATTTATTTTTTTCAGAAAGTGAAGTTAATTATTATAGTCAGAATTTTAATTAGATTCCAGATTTGACAATAGCTACTGTCATTTTGTGAAATAATGATACCACATATAAAAGTGTAGTGATGCACACAAAAATCGATAAACAATCAGTGTGTGTGTTTTATAATTAATGTTACTGAAAGTGACAGGACAGCGATAGCGATGGCGGCGACAATTTATAAAATAACTTATTACCATAATACATCTATCTGTTTTATTTGTCATGTTCCTTCATGATTACATTTTTTTATTTATTTCACACACAATTATAAAAGAAAAGTCTCAGATCGTTAATTAATCGTCAAAACTAAATTATCGGTTCAGAAATATTCAATTTCCTGATATACTTAGTTTACGAGACTAAAATTATAAACGAGAAGAATCGATCCAGAAATATTACATTTCCATATCGATTAATTTCGCAACGTCACTATTTAGTACTTGTCATAACGTTGCAACACTGAAATTGTCAAATCTGGAATCGAATTAAAATTCCGAGTATAGTTGTAATATTTCAGGTGAATAATAATACTATTAATATACCTTTACAAAACAGCTTTATGTTAGCGTACATACAAAAAACTATTTTACCTCTAATCTCATAACAGTGCCATCTTACGGTATATTTTGGTTTCACACCAGAGTCGATGTCTGTCCATGCACATTTTATTAACGAAACTTTCTTCGCTAGATGGCGTAACCGTGATTCCATTTTAAAACATATTCAACTTTTAAAGTTCTATCTATGATCATTGATTTGTTATATATTAATGTAAGTTATTAAATTGTGTTGAATAAACGTACCTGAAGCTACATAAAAAAACTTAATTTTAATATTAAAAATAATTTAATTTTAATCCCTACATAAATATAAACAGATCTACCCACCTTAATCTAAGTCTGTTCCATGACGATCGGAGTGACACCACGGCCTCACAGAAAAACAACGTGAAACAATGCTTGCGTTGTGTTTCACCGTGTGAGTGAGTAAAAAATGATTAACGAAGGCATAGTTCCTCCCTCTTCCAAAAGGCTGGCAACGCATTTATAACTCCGCAGGTGTTGCGGGTGTCGGTGTCGGTGATACGTCCGTCTGTAGATTTACTGCTTTACCTCATAAAATCTGCTGTGATTAGCATACACATTCAGCTTTTACCACCCAGTCTCAAATTAGATACCTACGTTTAAGAGTAGATAAGTAATCTCAACCACCGTGCACACAGGGTACAAAATGCATATACAAATATCAACATTTTAGCGACACATTTTAAAAATATTTATAAATAAAGTACTTAATCATAAATCTGTTAATTAATATCCCTGGAATATAAAGGTGCCTGCCTGCACGGTATCATTGTGCCACACCATCATGATAAAACAATAACACTCGCGCAAGCGTACCCACATTAAAATATTTGTATGAAATCATTGAAGAAAAAGAGAGACAAAAATAATATTTTCTATAAATCGAATAAACAAAGAGTACTCTACATTCAAAACAAGTCCAGACCATTCGAGACTATCTTATTTAGTCGTCTTATACGATCGAATAGTGTTGAAATTATGAAAAATTACAATCGATTATTTCACTTAGCACTTAAGAAATAGAGTGTAGTTTGGTTTGCGGTCATTTGACGGCTGA